CTCTAACACAACATTACGTTTTATTATTCTGGGAACCCCTAACATTATCAACCCAAGCAAGTATCAAAAATAACATTATCAACCCAAGAATGAAAGTATCAAAAATCACATACATCAGTGCTCTTACACACAATGTTTTAAAAGGCTAAAGGCGGCCTCGAGGCTTTTTCTCTTGAAAAGGCGAGGCGTAAGCCTCAAGGCGGTATGAGGCGTAAGCCTCAATTTTAATTAAAAGAATTAAACAAATCCTAAATTTGTGTGGTCAAGTATTACCAAACATAATAGTTATATAAAATTATCAAAATATCCACCTGTTACTYGTCACTGAAAAAAAAATTCTAAAAAAACATCATAACATCACTACTAAAAAATTCTAAAAAAACATCATARCATCACTACTATTATCAYCAATARAACTTACTTATTCTATAAATTATTGTCTTCAATATTTTTTATTTTTAAAGTCTAGGTMGTAAAAGTAGTAATAGATTGAATTGTTACAACTCCTGCTTAGGATTCCATACAAAAAAAACCTTGATATTTTTTAAGAATTGGAAAAATTAATAGTATTCTTGTAATCATTACACGAGGCGTATACTTTAAGCCTCAGTGCGTTTTCAAAGAGGCGTAAGCCTCTTCTATGCGAGGCGTAAGCCTCTTATAGTCCAAAGAAGGCGTAAGACTTGAGGCTAAAAGTTAGAGCCTTGCCTCGAGGCGGGCCTCAAGGCGTAAGCCTCAAAAGCCTTTTAAAACATTGCTTACACAACATTATGTTCTATTGTGGGATAATAAACATGAGCCCATGACATTGTCAGATCACACAGTCCAATTCAATGCAATGCAACCCAAGCATGTATCATCTCCTTAAAAAAAACCATATAATATATTTCTCTCCCAACTCCCACACAACAACTAATGACTTGATAATAAATCTTCAATGCAATAACATACCCAGCTGCCTGCTCCAAATTCCCATTCTCTCAAACAATCATAATCACATCATGTATATATCTTGGATGATCAATTGCAAAAATAATATAACAGTGAATCAAAAGAATTGAGGACAACCTCCAAATCCTATATCTCATCAAACAAACTGAATTGTCCCCCAGGTTATGAAGACCCTCACGAACCAGCATTGCCTCCCCCCACCCCCCAACCCAAAAAAATGTCATGAAAGAACGATGAAGCAAGTCAGAGTAATACAAGTAGTCTTTAGTAATATTCGCCAGAACTGTGTAAATAGAGATGGATTATAAGCCAACTAACCTTGAAACCTTTATAGACAAGACCTTTCTCGTAGAGCTGAGAGAAAACCCACCAAACACTCTCCATGAACTTCAAGTCCATTGTCTTATAATCATTCTTAAAATCAATCCAGCGTCCAGTGCGCGTGATAATTTTCTCCCACTCCTCCACATACCTCGTGACAATACTTCTGCATTCTTCGTTGTACTTGTCAATCCCCATCTTCAACACATCGTCTCTCCTCTTGATCCCCAGCTTCTGATCAATCTCGTTCTCAACAGGCAATCCATGGCAGTCCCAACCAAAGCGACGAGTTACATGATGACCGATCATGACCTGATACCGGGTCACAATGTCCTTGATGGTCCCTGCCAATATGTGCCCATAGTGTGGGAGACCAGTGGCGAATGGAGGCCCATCATAAAAAATGTATTCAGGAAGGTCCTTGGTGCGTTCGAGCTGGGTTTCAAAGGCCTTAATATCTGACCAATACTGAAGCACCTCCTCCTCGTGCTTAGGGAACGAAAAGTCCTTACCCTCACAGACCTCATCCATGGCGGCACTACACTCTAATTGAAGAATAGGGTTTGTTCAGAAATGGCAGTGAGAGTGCAAAAGAACAAGAATTTCCCCACAATTCAATCTGCAGAGTTGGGCAAGAAATGAGAAAGATGTTGACTTGTAAAGAAAAACAAACACTCGTAACTTTGCAGCAAGAAAACCAAATAGATAACTGGAAAACACTGAACTTGGAATCTAGAGTGACAATTGGAGAAATACCCGAGGCTGGGGGAGAGAGTGGCTTCGCCCAAGTTAACCTAGTAGTTCCTACCTTCAGCGGCTGAGATATTGAAAATGGTGTGTGATTAAATTAAGTAGCGTTTCTTTTTCTAATAGTACGTTGGTTTGGCTTTGGTCAGGTCAGTTCAGTTTTAAGGTAATAAACACCCAGTTTAGTTCTTATTCCCCTGAGTACACAAAAAATGAAAATTTAGAAAAATAATCCTTTTTCTTAAACGGAATTTCATTAATAAACTAGGGTCACATCGATCGGTTCGATCGGTCGGCTTTGAACGAACCGACTTTTTTCCTTTCTTTTACAACTTCTGCTGTTTGCTTTGGGTGCAATTAATCCAACTTGAAAATCAACCCAAATTAGAGAGTCCATAACAAATCTTAGTGTTTGCTTTGGGTGCAAGTGCGAAGAAATCAGAGAAGAGCCATGGAAGGGGAGAATGGTTCTACTTGGGCAATGGGTAACACAGAGTCGAGAAGAGTTCAAAGTGACGAGAAAGAACTCAGAGAAGAGCCATGGAAGGGGAGAATAAGCATATAATATAAATTAAGAACTTACTCTCCCGAACTCGGATTCAGCTTGAAAATGGATGTCCGGCGCCGATTGGGAGCTGCGAAATCTGCGCGGCGGCGGCGAGGTGGGTTACAGGGAGAGGGAAAGAACAGAACAGAACTACAGAAGTGAGGGAGGGGAGGAAGGCGCTGAACCGTGAAGGCGTGAACCCTCTTTTTTTTTTATATATAATTTTTTTAGAATATAAATGGGTCGGTCAGTCCGTTTTGGAGATTTTTTCCTAGCCGGCCGACGACTAACGGTTTGAGAAATTCCCAAACTGACCGTCGATCGACCGGGTGCTGACACCCAAGTTGGGTTAGTTCAAATGTATAAGAGGAAGTGAAATAGTGGCTGCGATTAAAACCTTACAAGGAAAAAAAATTCAATGAAAAAAAAATCGTAGTGAATGAAAAATAATACATAATTCATATAATATTGTGCTCCCCTCGTAAAAACATCACTTAAGTTTCTTGAGTCGCACCAATTTTTCAAATGTTGTCATAAGTAATGCTTTTGTAACTATATATGCAAGATTATCCTTCGAACAAATTTGTTTGCACAGTGATGTTGTTATTTTCTTCAATATCATGAATGTATAAAAGCTTTGATTAAATATGTTTTGTTTTATATGATTACCCTTGTTTTAAAGTTCATTTAAATTAGAAATGTTTTTTTTCCAAAAAATAAGAAGAATACAACTCAACATAAATCAAGTTTTGAAAAAACTAAATTGTTAAGCCAACGTAGGAGTTTGACAACTCCACCATCCCTTCAAATCGTTTTCCAACATTTGTCTGGCTAAACCATGAGCCACCTTGTTTGCCTCTCGACTAATATGTCTTATTGAGGTTACTTCCATATCTCCCATCATCTGTCAAATTCCTTTTAGAAGTGAAACAATTTCAATTTAGTCTTGAAACTATTCGTGAACGAGATGAATCGCTTCGAAAGAGTCGGATTCTAGGTGAATTGGTCGACGATGTTCTTGTTGAATCGCATGCAAGTCCTTGCAAAAGGTCATCACCTCCAAGTAAGTAACATCTCTCCATCTCCTGTAATTCTACATCCTACTCTAATGACTTCTACYTTCTCGTTTCTTACAATCCAGCCAATCTCATTGGTGTTTGTATATGCTCGCCATGCTGCATCCGTATTTAATTTCCATGAATTTGATATTGGAGGGTTCCATCGAGCTTCTGTATTGTCTCAAATTCGCCTTGTCAGGAGGTGCAATTTCTTGTTTGTTGAATTCTCTTTTGGATTTGTGTTTCTACCTGCATTGTTGTTTATGCATTTGTCAATCTCCGTTTGAATGTCCTAGTTTATGGATGAACTTTGGAAATTGATTTGTTCCTAATTTCCCAAATCTACCAAGCTATGATCATGCTTTTTTACGTTCTTCTTCACCAGCCTTATCTATTAATAACTCTCAATACTCTTTTGCAGTCTAGTTTGTCATATCAATGCAGAAAAAAATTTGCTTAAGTAGGAATGCAGCTTACATTTCCATAGGATAGGATACAATTTATAATTTTATTAATAATTAAAATTAATTAATCTTATTTTCATTCACAAAATTGTTAGTATTTTATATTAACAAGCATCTTATTTTGTTATTGTAAAATTGTAGTTATTATTTTAGGGTTAAAATTTTTTGTTTTAACTTTTCATGGAAAGGAAACTATTTTATGGTAAATTATAAAATTTATGGTGGTTTATAAGAAATTTTAATGGACTAATAAAAAAAATTGAATATTTCATTTTGGGCTAAATATTTTTATCTAATATTTTTGCGCCGAAGGTCTTTCAGCTACTATCTAGAGAGCTTATGAATCTCGTCGCCTCTCATTTGTGCGCCCACGCATATACCTTGCTAACCTTGCAAGAGCGCCCTACCGCCCACGCTGCACATCCTCCTACCAACGCCTTGTCGCACGCCCCTCAGCCACACACTGCCTATCGCCCGCGCGCACCCTCGCCCGTCGCCTGCACCCATGTGCATGCCCCTTACCGCCCATGCCTGCACACCACACTCCCTATCGCCACGCGCGCCAGCCTCCCTACGCCCACGCCATCACCAGTCCCTTAGGGCGCCTCCAACTTGCCTTGCCACTCACTCCAAAGCAATTTAGGAATTCTTTTCTTTTTTGTTTTGAGATATTTTGAAGGATTTGATTTTGAATAATTCTTTTTAGTTTTTAGCAAGGAAAGTTTCTCAAATTTTAGGAATTTATCATTTTTTTTTAATTTTGTTATTTTTTTCTTAAAAGGCAATGACCTTTAGCCCCCACGTCCATTTCGATATATAAAAAATGAGAAATTGGAAAATGCTGTTAGAAAAAAACAAAGTAAATTAATAATAAAAAAATGAATACATAAGCTAAATACAATAAGATATAAGACGAGATTCGACCACCTCCTACATATTGAAAACTTTCTGCTACAAAAAAATTAAGAATACCCACCGCATTTGTAATTCCATCAATTACCCGTCGATCAAAAAAATAAGTTAATTCAGCTAATACTCTTATACCCCCAATTAAGGATATTCTATAAAAAGCATCTATGTAACCACGATTCTATGACCAATTTAATATTCTATTTCTAATTTTATCAAAAAAAAAATTATTTGTCAAACTTTTAACAAATGAATTAGAATATGGTTTTCATTTGTGTGGTTGAGCTTAGGAATTCATATTTTTATTCTATATGCTCAGTGTAACGATTACAAAGTAATCCCTCTAATCCTTAACCTTTCGGGTTGAAATCATCTATACGATTGGGTTCAAGTGGTTTGTAACTCGAATAGTCCAATCGCTTGAGTTGTCACGTATCAGGTTTGCTCGCTTGAGTTGTCACGTATCAGGTTTGCTGGATCTGCTGCCGGAGGTTGAGTGGTTCATGCCGTTGGTGCCGCTCGTAGACAATTTGAATATTATGGTAAGAGGAGAACCAGTAAGTCTAGAGGTCGTGAAGAAGTGCCGAATCTGCTAAGTTCGTTGTCGGATCTACTATGTCGTTGTTGGATATACTATGTCGCCGCTCATGGGTGTCGGAGTGGCTTATTAGAACTGTCGTTGTCCCGCCGAAATTCTGTAGTGTCGTCGGAGGTCTGTCACCACCTACTACCGCAGGTCTGTCACCCTTACCACTGGAGTAGGTGAGCTTGCAAGAGAGGAAAATAATGGGCGGTGCTTGTGGTGAGAAGAAACGAGCAGAGGTAGAAGATAAAGATGGTGAGTTGTAGAGAGAGAAAGAATAGGAATGAGAAAAGAAAAAGTTTGGGTTTTTAATGGGTGCTTTAAGAGAGAGATGTGTGCTTTCTTAATAAAGGAAACAAAACCTTAGACTACTGCCTTCACCACTCCATTCCTGCTCTGCTATGCCTGTATCCCCCGTCCTGTTCTACAGAAACCCCTCTCTTATATAAGACAAAAAGTAACCGTACACTCTGTTAAAATAAGTAAACTTAGAGAAAAAAAATTGGAGAAAGAGGGTGGAGAAGATGCCACCTTGTGGGGCTTTTATGAAGAAACAAATGAAAATAGTTTACTTAAAAATAAAAAAAATTATTTTTTCTCCTATTTTCTTTAAAAAAATAATAAAATCATTATCCTTAAACAAAATCTAAACTTTTTTTATTAAAATAAAATATAACAAACAATAATAACAAAAATAAAATAAATTTTAGTTTTTCAAATAACTAAGAAACTAAAATATAAAAACTTACTTAAATAAAGTAAAGGGACAAAATAAAATAATAAAAAAATAAAAAAATAAAATAAAAGAATAATAATAATAATAATGAGAGTCAAACTAAATATTATGTCAATAGCACTATATCATGACGGTCAGTGAAACAAACCATAACAATTATCTCTTTAGATCATGTTGAAATTCTTGCAATTAATAAGACTAGTTATGGTTAAGATCAATGATATTATTAAAGAGGATAGTGTGTTGAGTCTCTACTTAATAGTGGAAAGGATAAGTGCAAACGCACACTCGTCACAAATAATAAACAGATAATGTTTTGAAATCGTTTCTACAGGGACTTAAAATCTTCTTTTAAAACCAATGGTGAAATTTGAGTGAGCGAGTAGTTTTATGGTTGTAACAGTATAAAATGAGGTTGAAATGAATTCTAATTCAAAATAATAAGAAAATCCAACATTCCTACTCCAACTTAGCACAAATGGAAATTTAACAGTAGCTAGGTGAGCCTAGCATACCTGTCAGTTTTACATTGGTTCAGATTCTAAACCAACTTACGCCTAAGTGATCTAAAAGGTTAAGACTAGCTATTAATATTCCTATTAATAAACTGAACCTTAAGTTAATTAATCCCAAAAGTAACCAAGGGGTAAGATCTTATGTCTAGACTTCTTAACTAGGTCATTTATCTCTAAAACTACCTTTCCCTTAGTAATTATATTCATTTGAATTTTTGATTATCTTAACTTACCTTTTAAAAAGTAAGGCTAATAATTCATTCTCTTAATTGGCCAAATTAAGTATCAACATAAAAGATGAATCCAAATGACAAAATAGAAAGGAACATTGTTGAATGATAAATTTTGGTCAATAATTAAATACCATGTCATCAATTTAAAATTATATTTAGGACCAATCCTAAATTTACACGTGTCCTAAATCAAGTTTAAAATCGACATTTATTAAAAAAAATAAATCAACAAATCAAATCATGTCACGTGTCTCTTTTATGGTCGTCCGATAAAATCAACTAATTGGACCAAATTCATGAGAAGATTGGGCCCAAGCTCATGGCCCATTAAAGCCCATGGCCCATACAAGACTCACCAAAGCTCTATAAATAGAGGGGGTCACCTCTAATTTGGGACATTCGAAAATATCCATAAGCATTGGAGATTCAGAGCATTTGGAGCATTTAGAGTCATCTACAACCGTTTAGAGTGCGAAGCATCCAGAACTAACAAGACTCGAAGAACAGAAGACTCGAAGAAGGGAAGACTTGAAGACTACGAGACTTCAAGAATTCTGAATCTTCTCTTTCAAGCAACCGACCGAAGAACTTCAACAAGCTCAAAGCCAAAGACTTCAAAGATCCTTCGACAAGAAAGAAGCTGAAGGCATCGACCATTGATTCAAGAACAAGCTCACAAGCCCTTGAATTAA